GGAGAGCTCCGCGACTACAACTACTTCTACCAACTATGGAGATCCTTCCTGGAAGGAGAGCTCCGACCGCAACAACGACACTTACACCCACCACGGTGTCTTTGAGATCTCACCCTTGCAACACCGCTGAACTCCCAGTATTTAGTTTGCGGCATTGTCGAACTCGTGACTGCGGCATCGTCAATCTCGCTATGGCGTTGTCGAACTCGCAACGCCGTTAAACTTGCGGCACAGCTACGTATCGCGATAATGTTATCTCGCGGCGTGGTTGCACTCACGACGCCGCCAAAATATAGTAATTATTAAAAATAATATTTCAGGTGTAAACAATGCCCCCATAACTTAGTTTATAAGAAATAGTTCTTCTTATGAACTAAGTTGTTGACATAATTTACATCACCTAAAATACTGATCAACTAGAGAGCAATCACCAACTTCACGAGAAATCATATTTCCATATAATCTTGCATTCAAATATGCCAAAGACACCAATCTTGCTTATAATCATAACTATCCTCAAGCCAACAATTTGATGGAAAACACATGCTTATATTTACGTGGCCAAAATTTGCTAATGATATAAATAACCACACCAACATAGCATGGCCATGCATGCTTTGCCTTAGTCTCACTTAAAAAAAAACAATGTTGATTTGGCCTAAACAACTTTGTTTTCGCCAAGCAGTATTGCGGCAAAACCAAACGTTCCAGGGAATAAGAAAAAACAGGCACATCCTTGTGGGGTCTAATCGGCAACACTGCTTTTTTATTTATAAAATGCCGAACCCTTGCAATCTTGCGGCAATCAGTCCTTTCCCAACACAAACAGGGTTGTTTGCTCATTTTTTTCGTGAATATAGCTAGCATAGTTGCGGCTTCTCACAAAATCATCACTGCATCCTCCCCCCGCAACGCTGTGGATCCAGCCCTCTATACTGGCCAGTTGCGTGGCCTCGCCCAAAACAAAGTGAATTTTTTTTGCTCAACGTTACGGCAGCTAAAATTACACCGCCTTGCAACAACAACAAAATAAATAAAATAATTATCAACAATGTGGTTGTTAATCTCATCACCGATGGCATTTTTCCTTTTCCCTTCTCTTGCCGCAAAGCTGCAGCAGCAAGTATCAATCCTGTGTTATTTATTTATTTATCATGGGCCATAAAAATTATTTTTTAATTTTTTTTTCTTAAGCCCACAAGCCGACCACGTAGCAACTGTCCTCCTTCTCTACTTTTCTTTGGTCTCTTTCTTTTTCTAATATCAGACCAACGACACGAAAGGGGTAAGAAGAAGAAAAAAACCACAGCGATGTTGCAAGTTACAACGGCTCGCAATCATGTTTGGCCCAAACCGATTAAATATAAAACAACCCTCCGACCAATCCTTTTGTTCTTTTAGTCTTGCTCGCAACATTGAGGCAAGCTCTGCAATACTGTTTGCCCTAAATCAACAACACTTCTTCTATTACTGCAGCAGTACAACTTCGTTTTTTTCAACAATCCTGCCGCCACACGCTAGATGTAGGAAAAAAAAACAAAACAATACTGAGTTAGTACGCAACGCGGTTGGCACTAATCAGTACTGCTGCAGTGTTGCTCAAACCAAATTAGCGGTATTCAGTTTTTTTTATTATTAAAAATCTAACGAGCAGGCCGCACTGAAAATAAACCTAACGGCCTCGCATCAGAACCCCGCAACGCTGTTTTGAGTAAACAACGGCATATTATTTTTAAAAAATAATAATATTGTTTTCAAAACAATACGGGGTTGTCTCACAACGGTGTGCATCCCTCCAACACTATTGAGAAAAGAGAAAACAACACCACTGGCCATCTTAAACCATTGCCAACAACGTTGTTGCTTCTTCTTAACAGTGTTGCTTGAATAATTTTTATAATTAAAATTTTCTTTTCTCAACCTTGTTTTGGCAATGTTTTATTTTATCAAATAAGAATAAACTCTTTTGTTTCCACGGCGTTATGCATCCCTTTGGTCATCTTGAACCATTGCCAACAACATTGTGGCTTCTTCTTGACAATGCCACTTGATTATTATTTTTTATAATATTTTTCCTTTTCTTTTTTTTATAAAAAAATATCACGTGGCCTAACTTGGCCACATTATTTATCAATATCTAAATAAGAAACAAATTAGGCTTTGACATAAACCATCATGCCAAAGGTCCATACCCACTGCCAACTCCATTGATCAAACCAAACAAGCCATCCGTAGATACCCTGATTCATCACAACTGGCTTGACACACGATTGAGACGTTTTGAAGTTGTTGTTGGCTTGCAACTCTCTAGTTCGTCCAACTCGAACATCTTTGTTCGAAACTCCACGAGCTTGATTTGGTCTCATCTCAGCCTCGCGGAATGAAAAATCATATGCATTCTTGGCTCTAGGCAAGACATTCACGTTTTTTAGCACATTTGTTTTACCAAGTCGACCATGTGGCATTGCTTGCCCATACTGGTTTTGTTTCATCATATGCAAGTTCTCACCACGTTGTTCTGAGTATGAGCACCGAGGCTTACGAGCTTCTCCAACACTCATGTAAGTGTCGTGATCTTGATTTTTGCACCTACCACATAACCACTTGGTTTCTTTTGAACTTTCATGTGGGATTGGAACTTTTCGGGCACTAGACTTGCCCCCCTTGCCATCACTCGTGGCAGACTTATTTCTTAGAAACAATGGTGTGGCAAATCCAAGTCGTGCATGATTGAACTTGCCCCCCTTTTCACTAGTGGAGTCTTTGGGGACAATTTACATGGAGGATTCTGTTGATTCATACCAACCCTTGCGGGATTAGTTTTTTTTCACGTGGTCACCACCTCCAACTTGAATAGTGTTTGAGGTGACCCTATTTCGATTTTTCTTAGAACAGAGTGGATGTGGCAAACTTATTTGCCACTTACAGTGTTGTTTCTCCTTCAATCTACCACGAGCTGGGATGGCATGCCCCCTAGCGGCTTAGATTGAACAATGTTGTAAAATTTGTCATCTTTCAAGATATCACACTTGTTCTTCATAATTTTATGAAACTTATTATAAACACGTTTAAATTTTGTTCTTTGTTGTGGCTTTCGCAAGACAGCTCTAACTTTTCTGTCCTTCAAAACAATAGTGTTCACAAGAGAACCAGCATGAGATTTGTTGGCCCCTAACAACATTGTTTTAGCCACATGTTTAAGTGAATCCTTATTGGCAATACCGGAAACATGATCATGTATCATCTCAAAAAATTTATCCATATGTCTTCCAAGAGAATCACAAGGCCCATTTAAAGAGATAAAATAGAGATTTACCAGCCGGTAATACTCCTCTACAGATCGATGAAGAGACAGGAGTGCATCATGCCCATTGGTGCTCGACATGGATTGGGGCCACTCCTTCATCCAACCGATATCTCTATCTGCCTCATCTGCTCGGCCAACTTCAATGCCGACCACACGCTCCACCTTCACAGCTTCTTGTGGAAGATCAACGTTGTGTTTTCCATGCCACAGAGCCATATTTCACTTCAAACACACGTGTCCCACCGGGTGTGCCAAATGTTTCCCCAGCGAAACCAAATATCCACCGCCGATGCCGAATTTGTTTCGGCGGTGTTGATTTGATGTTTCGCGATGGAAACTCTTTGCGGTGCTGTTTGATCGGACGCACCACTGAATGTTGAAATCAACGTGACCGTCAAATATCCACTGCCGGGCGTCGGGCGATGTTGATTTGATCGATGCACCTCTGAATGGTGAAATCAATGTGACCGTCAATTATCCACCGCTGGGCGATGTTGATCTGATCGATGCACCTCCGACTTCTAACCAACGCGACCGTTACTGCGGTTCGCATCTCTCCAAACTACGTTCGAACGAGGGTGTTTGAGTTTTTGGGAATCTACCTTAAAACTACTCCTATGGAGATTCCCGTGGAGAGCTCCGCGACTACAAGTACTTCTACCAACTATGGAGATCCTTCCTGGAAGGAGAGCTCCGTGAAGGAGTTACAGAGAAGAAAAGGTAAAGTTTGAACAGATGTGTTCTGTGTTGATTTTTTTGGTTCTCTTCTCTCTCTCCTTGCTCCGATGATTTTATTTGAAATCAATTGCGTAGTTTCCACGCTCCGCGGAACTGCTTGCTTAACTGCTTCGCCGTAAACTCCCACGTGTCTTCACTCTTCTCCATGGAGTCGTAGTCTTCAACTGCGTTCGTTCTCCAATCTTCCTTGCGTAAAAGTCACGTGCACACATCAACTTTGTACCACCACGGTTCGAATCACGACACCACCATCGATTAAACAACATTGTTGTTTCACCCTACACCACCATTGGACTCCCAACATCGTTCAGCTCGCGACGCCGTTTAATCCATGGCGTTATTGAACTTACGACACCGTTGAGATCCACAGCGGTGTTGGCTTCGCGGCACCGTTTAACTCTGTGACATTGTAGAATCTCACGATGTCATGCTGCCTCGATGAGCTGAGATTCGGAATGCAGCTAGACTTGACCTAATCGCCACTATATTGACTAAACAATGTTGTGGTGCTATCAAAATCACAACCTCATTGCAACCGCAACAACGGCGTTGACACCCAACACGGTGTCTTTGAGATCTCACCCTTGCAACACCGCTGAACTCCCAGTATTTAGTTTGCGGCATTGTCGAACTCGTGACCGCGACATTGTCAATCTCGCGATGTCGTTGTCGAACTCGCAATGCTGTTAAACTTGCGACACCGCTACGTATCGCGATACTGTTATCTCGCGGCGTGGTTGCACTCACGACGCCGCAAAAATATAGTAATTATTAAAAATAATATTTTAGGTGTAAACACCGCCCATGCAAAGTTTTTGTGGATACTACATAATTCATTAAATGTAGGCTATTTGTACTAGAATCATGTTGTGGATACTACATAATTCATTAAATGTAGGCTATTTGTACTAGAATCATGGTTTAATCGTAATTCAACGAAATTTTATCCCTAAAACCGCCTATTGAATTTTTATCGCGAAAACCCCTTAACTAATACCAAGAATTATAATCGTGAGTTACAAGGAAACTTTCCCAATCCGCTTACCAAATAGAAAAGGGAAACAAAAATAATGCAGGCAGGAAAGTGAAGTCAATGCCTCAATGGTACCGCCGCACTTTAATTTCTCTCCACAGAATCGGCGACCGGGCCAGAATTTTTCCTGGCCGGAAACGCAGACAACTTATTATTACACAATTTCTTCTATTTGGTGGCGGGAGGAAAAGGAGAAGGAAGGAAAATTGTATCAATTAATACAGAGTAATACTAATCACCGGAAAATCGGTGATTTCCTAAGATGATAATTAAAATAAATAATTATTTCTTGTCATCTTTTTTGTCGTCCTTCTTGGGCTCACCACCACCACCACCACCATCCTTCTTTTCTTCCTTCTTCTCTTCCTTGGCGGGACCGACGGAGACGATGTCCACTTTCCCCACTTTCTTCAGCTTCTTCACCACCGCCACCGTGTCCATCACCCCGATCACCGTCAGCTTCTGCTCCTTCAGATCCGCGGCTATCGAATCAACCCCTGCCGCCCAACAACAAACAACGAGATCAGTTCAATCTTGATTCAATCAACTATCGCAACTTCCGTTCCGGAATCAGAAGGGGAAAAAGAGGAAAAGTTTGCTGTCAGTACCGAATATATCTGCGGCGGCCTCGATTGCCTTCTGCTTCGTCTTCTCGTCGGTCATGGTCAACACCTTCAGCACCACTTTCTGCTGCCGTCCTCAAAAGAAGAAATCGAATTCCAATAGACATCTCGGCTCAGAATTTGATAGACGGGTATGAAATCAATTGAAAGAAGAGGAAGTAAAGTTGAGCTTATTAAGTACCTGAGCCATGGCGGCGATCGATTGTGGAGAGGAAAGGGAGGATGTAGAAGAAGCAGCAGCTGAATTGATTGGGGGATGATGAGAAAGAAAGCGAGATTCTTATTCTCTTGTGTGAAGAAAAGAGAGAATTGAAAATCGGGAATTGGCTGGGGAAGGTAGTAATAGCTCAATAGGTATATTTATTTACTTATATAGAAGTCAAGGGATGGATAGGTGCGTTTTGACAGAATAAGTGCTTATTATGAGTTTACGACTACTCAATGGTGTAAATAGCGAACACTGACTAACCTTATAGTGAGTAATGTGTCCATATCAACATCTTTCTTGGAAAGTTTTTAATTTTTCTCTTATTAACCTTTAACGGACGATTTCTCACTCGTTTTAAGTCGAAATTTATTTTTTTTGCACAGTTAGATAAGATTAATTATGCTCTTCAAAATAATATCCACTTTGATATATTTTGGAAACATAAAAAATTGAGTCATTTTTTACTAGTCTAAACCATATGGTATTGACTGGTATTGAAATAAGAGCATACCTATGGTTTGAAAAGCGTACCATGGTGGTATGAACAAACCAAGACTGTACGATGTTGAATACATGATAGTAGAAGTATATTAACTGTCATTTACGACTTTTAAGATTGTGTACCACAAGATACCACCTCGTACCAGGGTGGTATTTTGTGGTATTGTGTGGTCCTGTAATTTGTTCACCTAGAAATTTGTAGATCCAATAGATCATGATGAACTCGTTCATTCTGTGCAAACATTTTCAAAAATGAATTAAAAACGAAGAAGATACCATATGGTATGCAGTTGGTACCGAGAGGCAAGAGTTTTTTTTCTAAAAAAAATATTGAAAATGGATATTGATTTGTTGAGCTCAACAAACTCGTTCCATCTGTGCAAAAAAAATTGAAATCCGAGTTAAAACGAATAAGATATGAGCCGATTAAGAAAGATAGGGAAAATAAAAATGACATTTATTTCTCCATCCTTAAATTGGGGTTTCTAAATGAAGGGTTCAGATTTAGTTATTGATTAGTGCATAACCTTGATCATCTAAATAGTAAGTTGCCATAAATCCAATTACCTTCTTAGTGTAATCAACCCACTTACTATACTTGAGTTGTCCTTTCCCATTAATGGGCTCCGGATACTATAACAACACCCATAGTGTTGTTATAGTAACAACAAGGACATAACAGTAAAATGACAATAAAAATAATAAAACAAAAATAATAAAATTTATCACAGAATACCGTTGACGAGTAATCCCATCCTCTCTCCCATTTCAATCCCCATCGTCGCCGTCTCAGCCCCTCCTCTCCCACCAAAATTCCCGCGACGGAGGCGGAGACATCACTATCGTCGGAGGCAGCGGAGTGCCTCCACCGCCGCTGCTCCGTCGCCGTTCATGAAGGATTACATGGATCTGGTGCGCAGGATCTCACTGCTCGCGTGAGATTGCGGATTTCGACGATGAATCTGGACAATTGGATTGCGATGCCGCCGCTTCCACTTTATCGCGTGCTGCGGCCAGTTGGTGCTCCGCGCTGCTTGCTGCGACCATGCTAGAGAGAGTGAGATCGCTTAGAGTGAGAGAGCGTGAGAGTTTCTTGTGATTGCAGAGTTGCGTAGCCGCTTCATCTTCCTGGAACCTCTTCGCATCCAGTGGCTCTGCACCCTGAAGCAAGCGACCCGCAGTGAAAGCTCGATTGTGTAGTGTTACTTTAGTAATCTGATTGTTTGGATTTTATTAGGATTAGCTCATTTGGATTCTTGTCCTTTGTGTAGTGGTAGTTGAGGAAACTCTTGCTTTTTTTAGTTATGTGGATGTAATTAGTTATTGGCAACTCATGTGATTGATGCTACAATTTGGGCATTTATAGAGACTGGTCACAAATTTTGGTGGTGTATTTCTGGTTCTAACCACAAAAATATGGAAAAAAATGTTTTAATGCATGCCACAAATCTTGTGAAACATAATAGAAATTGTATAAAGCAAACCATAAATGTTTCTAAAGTACACCACAAATCTCCTAAAACAAATAAAAAACCCAACAAAGCAAACCACAACTATTTCTAAAACACACCAAAAACCTCCTAATGCAAACCACAAATGCCATAAAACAAACCAGAAACTTCTTAATGCAAACCAGAAACCTCCTAATGCATACCACAAATCTCCTAAAACAAACTAGAAACCCCACAATGCAAACCACAACATTTGCGAAAGCACACCAGAAACCTCCTAACGCAAACCACAAACACAGTAAATCAAACCACAAAAAAGCAAACCATAAACGTCCTAATGCAGACCACAAATATATTAAAACAAACCAGAAACCTCACAATGCAAACCACAAAGTTTTTGAAAGCAAACCAGAAACTTCTCAATGCAAACCACAAACACGATAAAGCAAACCACAAAAACAAACCAGAAACCTCCTAATGCATAACACAAATCTCCTAAAACAAACCACAAACCTCCCAATGCAAACCACAAAGTTTTTGAAAGCAAACCAGAAACTTCTCAGTGCAAACCACAAACACGATAAAGCAAACCACAAAAGGCATAAAAAAATATGAGAAACCAAACCATAAATCTCACAATGCTAACCATAACATTCGGTGATCGTTGACTGTTGACCAGTCAACGAAGACCGTTGACCGGTCAACGAAGACCGTTGACCGAACTCCGGTGACCGTCAGTGAGCAGATTCCGACGCCGATAGGCATATTCCGGCTCCGATGACTAGATTCCGACGCCGGTAAGCATATTCCGACACCGGTAAGCATATTCCGGCGACAAAAAAGCATATTCCTGCGACAAAAAAGCATATTCCGGTGACCGGCGACCACTTTCCGGCGACCGGTGGCAGAATTCCGGCGACCAAATTTTTTTTTTCCGGTAATTAATTCCGGCGACCAGATTTTTGGGCAGAAAATAAAAATTATTTTTTTATTTTTTATTATTTAAACATATTTTTCATAATGACAATTATACCCCTCCTTTGATTTTACACTAGGTCAACTCATCTAATAAAAAGTCATCACAATCCTACCTTCCTATTGGTTGGAGACTAGTGTTGTTACAATAACAACACAAGGAATGTTGTCATAGTAACCGGTCCCCCATTAATGGGCATGTTTTTCACTAAACTTTCCCCCCTCTTATTAGACTTTGATCAGATACCTTTGTTATTTGGGTAAATTTATTATTACGGAATATTAGTGGTAATTACTTCTAAGTTCATTCAGAGATTGCCGGTCAGATAGTTCTCAGACTTTGGGACAAGTTAGAGTGCTAACTCTATAAGAATTAAAATTATTCTGATCACCGTTGATTACTTTGTAATAAAATCTGATGGTGTGGAGTAACGAGGGGCATATTCGGTATAATAATAAATTAACTTAATAAATATGTGCATATTAATTTAATAAATATTAGCAACTTTTATTTATTAAATAATTTAATTTTGAATATCTCTCTTCTTTATAATAGATATTTTTTACGTAAAAAATATTACTACTAACAAATGACTACAACTTAAATTAGTAGTAGTTTTAATGGTTATAGTAGCGATTTTAGATTTTCTTGTAGTGATTTAACTATTATTAGTAGTGATTTAACAATTTTCTTGTAGTGATTTCATTGTCATCAGGAGTGATTCATGAATTTCTTGTACTGATTTATATTTTTTGTATAATGATTAGTTGTCGCCATCGATCTGTACAAAGAAAAAGTTAACAAAAAACCATTACGACACCATAAATCCTCTATCAGATCTGTAAAATCGCTACTACTATAAAACATTGCCATTGAGAATCATTACCACAACATGAAAAGTTAGTACTACAAATCTGAAAATTAGTACTACAGATCTGTAAAAATCCCCATTGCCATTTTGCTTCCGTGTGTACAACCGCTTTACGTATAGAGACGATTGGGGTGGAGATCTGAGCAGGAAGGGAGACGCAAGTATGGTCCCCCCAAGTTGTCGAGAGCTGGAGTTTCACCAACATAGAGAGACGTTGGGGGCGGCATCAGCATTGCTTCGATAGAATCGGCCTCATTGTGGCGGCGTGGTGACACGGTTGAGTCGAAATGGATTTTCTCGCTGCGGCAGAATCAACATCATTGAGGCGTCCTGTTCGTCGACGATGGCGAGATAGGCGCGGCCGCGCGGGCGGTGGTGAGGAAGATGTCGGGGCGGGCTAGGCCGTCGCGATTAAGAGCAACGCTTGCTTATTCGGCTTCGACCGGAGATTTGGTTGCTTCACCGAGAGAGAAGAAGACAGTTTCTTTGATTGAGAGAGAGAGAGGACGGGAGAGAGTGGACGACTGTGGGAAACAATAGGCAAAAATTAGTATTTATATTAGGGTTTAATGGAGTATTAATCAAACTATCCTTCATTTAATTTTGACTCTATAATTATTTTTTAATCTAATGGTCATTAGTTTAGTTAGTATGGTGCTAACCCATTAGCAACTAATCTCATCCCTTAGACTTCACATGAAGCTTCTGCCTTTGTCCAAAACAATTAATCAAAGCAATGGCATGGTAGTGGCCTTTCCGTGCGTGCATGAGTCTGAAAGTTATTATAGTTTTATTATTTTTGTAGTTGCAATAGAGTTGTGATGAAAGTACAATGTCAACAACATGAAAATAGAAAATTGAAATATGTTAGTTGATAATTTCGAAAACTCATGAAGGTTGACAACCACAAATAGAAATGTGTTTAATTACTTATTTAGACTCTGTGTAGTATCAACATGAAGAGGAAAGTACAAAATAATGAAAGGAATGGTGTAATTTACAAGTTATAAGAAACTTGAAGGAGGAAAAAAAATGTGAAAAGTGAATATAAGATACAGGGTGTGAAAATGGAGAGGAAATTGTGGTTAATGTTATGGTACAAATTCAAGTTGTATTTATATATTTTTGTACAAATTTCTTTATGATAGAAACTGAAAATGTATATTGACCTTTCGGTATAACTTCAATTTGTACGCATACATTTTCGTACAAATAATTTTATTGAACAAACTAAACTTGTACTTTTAACGTTATACTACAAATTCGATTTGTACATGGAACCACCGGTGCTTATCATATAAAATTGCTCTTACTATATGGCTCAAGTGATTTAAACA